GACCTAACCCAGACCTAACCCAGACCTAACCCAGACCTAACCCAGACCTAACCCAGACCTAACCCAGACCTAACCCAGACCTAACCCAGACCTAACCCAGACCTAACCCAGACCTAACCCAGACCTAACCCAGACCTAACCCAGACCTAACCCAGACCTAACCCAGACCTAACCACCCGACAACGTGAGGGAGAGCCACCAATCTCTCCTCTTGGGAGGAGAAGTCCTTCTACGTTGCCGGTCGGCCATTAACTGGTGAAATGGAATGGGTGCAGCCCTCCCCGGCGCTGCCGGGGAGGGGGGGTCGCAGTCGAGTCGAGTCGGTGCGCGCGCACCGATCTTCCTTCCGCGTAGAGTAGACTTGAGTCTAGTCTATGTGGTGGTGGAAGACCGGCCCGTGCCGACGCAACGCGGCGCGACTCGACTGCGACCCCAAGGGAAGGGACTTAGAAGTTGTATATATACGAGAGAAAGACTGCTCGAGCGCTTGCGAGAAAGTCGCTGACTTGACGCTGATGTCCCTCTAGCGGCGAGGAATGCGAAATCTATTGCTACTGTTGTGTTGCATTCGGTTCCGACAGCGGAAAGTAATAATTATTATTATTTATTAGTTAATATCGACGACGTACGATACCGCGACTATGATTCCGTTAACCCTTTGCACTCGGATATCCACTGGGGATAGAGTCACGTTGTACGTGACAGATATTACAGGTTATGTTAATTAATTAATTCGACCGTGTTCCCTTGGATAAACGTGTGCTTATGGAAATGGAAATTGCGAGAGAAAGCGGGCCAACTATTCCTTAACTATGAATAGTTGTTCTGTGAAAAGAATATCAAGTAAAGGATTTCCTATAAATGGCTTTGGTCTCTGTTTAATGATCAAATGTGCCTGACAATGTTGTACTATTGACATATTGTTATTTGTGTTAACAGTGTCATTATGTATTGTTGAAGCACCTTATACGTATACCTTATCTATCTGGAAAGATCGAATTTAAATAGAGAGAAAGAAAAATGGTTGATTGATTGATTAAACGGAACAATATTGATTTCGAGTCGATCCAGTGCCACAAGAAGAAAGAACAAGTATTAAGCCTGTTCGATCAACATGATTTCAGTTTCAGTTTGTATTTGTGTGTGCATGATGCCATCTTTAAATTAAAATCAATGTCTGCAACCACAATCAAGGCTGCTTGTTTAACATTGAGAGTAATTCCATTATTATTACTGGATGCTTGATATTTCAACTAAAACCAAGTAACTGTTTACTTAATTATTCATTTATATACAATATTTCAAACTAAGACATCGATTGAATCCTTGCCACTTGATGTATTAACAGGAGAGAATATGAATTACATTTAGGATTTACTACCAAGTATAAGGTTACTCCATATATATGATACTTATGCCCTCGTAAGCTTTAAAAGAAGTAATAATCATATATAATCATCGCAACTACCAAAAAACACACACGTTTACAAAGTTATATGCTATAACTTTACTTATATATATATATATACTCTATACTACTTATAAATATACTATACTATAACATTAAATAGTATACAAAGTTATATACTGTTTAATGTAGTGCCTTTCTTATACGCACAGTGCAGAGGGTTAATGGCAACAAAATTCTCTTTCAGACAAAGGCTTTGATTGGTTATAGGTTAGGTTACCTGCCGCGCAATCACATGTTCATTTATTTAAATAGGCAGTCGGACAAATGACAAGAAATAGGACAATTTCATTCGCTATACACTCACAGGTTAGGTTACGATACGTATTCCGTTACATTAAAGTGAATCTTTTGCCAATAAATATCACATTGTAAACTGCAACGTGCTAATACATGCTTCTATCAAAGGGTGTACAACGTGTCGTCGTACAGATAAAACAAAAATAAATATATCTGCAACTAACTTCCGATAACCTCTTGGTTGTTAACATTTTGCACTCGAGAGATGACTGACAGTCCAAACTTAACCCCGATGTAGTTACTCCAAAAGTGACATGTAACTATCTACCTTGATGCAGTCAATCTCAAGGTAGATAACGTTTACAAGGTTTCATTTTATTTCAATGTAATTTCAATTATAAATGATATAATTCTCTGACAGCTTAAGGAAACTTGATCGTTAAATGTTAAATTAATTGCAATCGTACAACTTCCGAGCTAATATATGGCTTTGCATTTACGTTGTACAAAGCTAAGAAAGCATTCTACAGTTGTTGATACGTACTACAAAGGAGAAACACAAAAAGCCCTTGGATGCAAAAGATTAAATCACACCTAGGCAACGAAACATACATAGTTACATCAATCGTATAGAGAAACTTGTCTTAATTTCGTTTGTTAACCAGTTTATCATACGTTCCACAGTCTAATTCACACACTGTATCTCACTGACGCTACACTAACAATCGCACTTGTCTCCAAACAATCAGGATCGGTGCAAACATCCACTTGTTGTCCACGACGAGTTTCTTGCGATTGTTTTAGCAAAATACACTCCTGTACAGGCTTCTTCTCCTCTCCTATAAACTTCTGGCCACAATCTTGAGCACAAAAAACTCCACTCCAAAAAGGAATAACCTCGATTGACATTTCTTATCCGATAACCTTCGCTAACTCCTTCGATCACTCATCTTTCTCTTCTCCCTGCAAAATTGAAATCATGTTAGATTACTTCTCTTCTCATAAAGAAACCAACAATAGCAGCCCAAATAACAACAACCTCGTCTGACATGCTTGCTACATCCGCAGATAACGTCCGCAGATTTCTTCGCTCGTCTTTCGCTCTTCTCCATACAACATATTAATTATATTACATACGCCGACAAACTCAGTGTGTTTATGAATTACCTTTTTACCGACACAACCCAATGGAACGGGTTGCGATGAGATTATGTCGCCTGTACTGCTCCCATTCCAGCTCGGGTTAGCTCGCGTCAACGTACTACGCGTCTCAAACGTGTGGATAATTATTGAATAAGTAAATGAGAATTCTTCATTTGTCACATGCACGTGACCATAATTCTTACTGTCAAAATCAAACGCGCTTGACTAAACTCCGAACGAAGCAAGATGGTGGGGGTGGGGGAAGCATATATTTAAAAAAGAAGAAAAAAAGAAAATGGACATCTCGAATTATTAGCGCGCCCTTTTTGCAAAAATTTCAATCAGATACACAGTTGTGAAAACTGAACATCAGAATTCCCAAATTACAATGGATCCAGAAGTACATTTCATTCACTAACTTAATAATTGATAACGTAATATTATTTGAAGATGCTTATAAGAATCAGAAATAAGCATAGATGCTTAGAAATGCTGCCATTAAACCTTGACCTACTATTCCTACTCGCTTGGTCAAGTGCATAATAGTGGCTTCTGGAATCTAACCGTCCATTTAAATGAAAGTGGCTATATTCAACTATGCGCGCTCCCATGAACAAAATTACAAAATATTACCCTTAAAGATCCATTAGCAATTCGAATGAGCGAAAGATTGAATGACCAAGCTACTTGACGCACTTTTGTTAAGTAAAAGGCACGATTTCACTGTACAATTGGTGCAAAGAAATGCACTCTTACGTCATTCCTTTCCTATCCGAATCTTGAACTATTAGTCGCAATTCTAAACACGCGTAAATATAGTTGATCCCATTCCAGTTGTGTTCATTTTTTAGTACAACGACGACGATGGACAAGGAATTTTAAAAAAAGAAAAGAAGAAAGTTATATATTTAGTAAGGATGATTGTTGTTAATATTTTATTTACAGCAAAAGTGTAGTTAACTGTACCATAGCGATACTAAAAATCTAATCATTTCGATTATAGCATTCAACCCTCTGTAACATGAATTTTTTTTTGTTTGCCCTCTGAAACAAATTGTACGTTAAAAAAAAAACATGTTTTAATAAATACAACTCTCATACTCGTATAAAAAAAAAAGGGAAAAAAAGGTGTATCTAATGTGTGTTCCAAAAAAAAAAATATTCTGGATTAAATCTACGATGACATACATCGGTAAAATGATTAAATCAGACTTCACGTAAGTAGATGATGTGCACATTACCTTAGAGTTATACAATTGAGGACAAACATTGAATGGCGTTTCACAAACATGTCAAAAAAAAAAAAAAAAAAAAAGTTGACTTTATAGTTTCCCTCGTTAATTATTAAATAAACAAATTTGAATCCACTATCGTTTTCAACAAAAGTAATAACAAGAGGTCATCGTTAAAAATCAGTTTCTTACCTGCCGGGAAAATTTGCATTCTCATTTACAGTAGTCCTGCTGTCATTCGGAAGCAGGCAAGACAGATTGAATGACTAACATTGCTAGTCGATTCTTTAAAAGACCTACTTGAAAGAAAAAGAAAAACCAGTCGATCTTCCTCGCGGGCCGATGAATTCGCTGGACTTTGATTGAACGCACGACAATCCCGTTATCGTTTCGTCCGAGTGGGTCACCGACACCTCGACAGGATTTTACTCATAGCAGCTCCGACGTGCACGTATCGGACCTGTGCTGCTAACAGGCCGTTCTTCTTGAAGCTTGGTGGGGCCGAACAGGACCGTCTCACTGTCTTTTCCAAAGAATCGTGCGAGAGGCACCTTGCTGTTCGACTCTGATCTTTCCTGTAAACTTTAATTCCAGAAATCAGCGATTCAATGGACCATTTTTCGCAACTGTAGATTGGTCAGATCTCGAGGTAACATTCGGTTGATGTTAATTCCGAATATTAATACGAAAACACGCGGTGACACAAATTTTACTTTTTACATATTCGAGGGAAGGATGCTTGATTGCCACCTTTCCCATTGAAGCGATCTAGAGACAGAAAGGGGGGAATTGTATTCCAATAATAAATTATATAAAAATATAACTATGTAGTGATCTATTCGTGACGTTTAGTCGATTCGATAGTTAAATTAAATAAAAATAAAAAGTTTATATTTTATGCATCGTTTAAAATCTTTAGCTACATAAGAATTATCCCAATGTCAGTGTTCATGTGATTGGACGAAAAGTGTCGTTACACACAAAGTAGAGAAATTTGTATCCATACTAATTAATTTATAAGATTAGTGTTGGACATTTGTCAGAGCTACTTAGGAACATACAAGTATTAATTAATCCAAGATTAATTCTGTCTACGTAATTGGATATACGTATAACGTATAGCATGAAGTAATAAACATTTACTGTAGCCGCACGAGAAGAAGGGGGGAGATGTTGAAAGTGGAGCCAAGTTTCAGCCGTCCCTGGAAACCAGATGGGGTCTGAAAGTGCCCCGCGTGCTCGCGTTCGAGGAACATATTCGTGCAGTATTAGTGTTCACGGGAACGAGTAACCTGTCGCACCTTTTTATCTATCGATCGTCAAGTATCACGTTCACCAACGTCACGTAAGAACATTGTCACAGGTGACTTGTCCGATTTACGTGAAAGACACGAAAGACAGTTTCCGAATAGTTCTCCTTGCGTTGAACGAATCCGTCGTTCGTAGCGGGAAAACATTCCGGACGAAAAGGAAACATCTCCAGGGACCGTATCAACAGGATCGTCTACTTTCTAGGATCCTGCGTGATAAACAAAACTGGATCGACAAGTATGAAGATCGCCACGACCTTGTTCCTTTTCGTGGTTGTCGGTACGTATAACAAGTCCAAGTTCTTCGTCTAAGAAACTCACGTTGTGTAGCCATTAGGTATTTACTAAAACCATGACGTCTGCGATCGACAAATGCAAGTAAAATCATGATTGACTTTCAATAAAGAAGAAACAGTATGAAAAGAAACAAATTATAATATATTATATAATATTTGTAATTAAACACAAAGAATATTTTAGATAATAGTACACATCTACACACTGCTATCTAGTCTGCTATGCATTGGCAAATCTACCGATTAAACCGGTTCGCAAACATGGTGTGTCAATCACGATCTAAACATGCGGTGAAACTTAAATTTTACATGTTTTCCATTTATAAATATCATTTTGAAGAGAGAATAATTTGTGGAATTTTCACAATTGCTTACTGGCTACTTAACGCGAGTTTCTTTTACCTATCGGTGTCAAATGTTTATTTATTCTTCGATCAGGCGCAGCTTCTAGAACTCACGTGACCTTTCGCCAAGTTCGACTCTAGTTGTCTAAAATGAATGAAACGAGTGGATCAGTGATTATAGACACAATTTATTTAAAGCTGTATATACTTTCCGGAAAACTAAATGTTTATCTTCTTTTGTAACATTCGTGATTGGAGCAACGTTTCGTAATGATTTTACGCCGGGGCCGAAATTTAGCTCACGAGACGAGGGTGAAAGTGATGGGCACAATTTTGCCATGGAATTGTCACCAACGGTCATGATCCCGGCAATCTAATAAGGTCTCTGGCCCATTGCCTATTTTTCCAATGCGCGAAACACACATTCAAACTAGAAGCTGCGTGACTGAATGCATAGCCAACACTTGGATATTCGTATGCAAATCTCCACTCGTCTTTGTCCATTTATGAAATTGTGTCTTGCCGTTTGCAGACGGACATCGAAGCGTTGGCGACAAGCCTCGATCGAAACGTTTCTGTCCAATAAAAATTCGAACGTTTTGCGTAACAATTGCTGACGAATTCCTTTGTTCGTCGCGCGCGAAGGACCTGTTACAGAACGAGATGAAAACGATTGCGATTTACGACATCGAGATTAGTTTTCGGCAGGGGCTTGTTGAAAAACCACGACGTGATGTTATTTATTCCAGCCAGATATTACTGTGGTCCACTTAAAACAACAGTACAAACACTTTCTGCAATATCTTTCTGTAAATTTAGCAAAATACCGCAATAACATCTGGCCTGAGCATTCTGTCGATATTTAATTACCAGTTTTCAATAATAGGATTTTATCAAAAAGAAGAATGAAAGGAAATTTATTTTCATTTTATAAGTCGCGGATCCTTGCGTTGCTCTACTAGCCATAGCGATTAAATTATTGGAAACTGGTTTTTAGAGTATCTATAATAATCTTGTTGGGCAACTCGCAGGTTTCTGGGCCTTTTTCCATAATTTACGCCTTGTATGAAAGCATATAATATTCTGTGCTATCGAGCCCCGACTTGTCTTGACTGACCGCACACTGTTTTATTGGATCTGATCTACTCAAACTTCCCTATCACTCATTCTTACTGTTACTGAACTTTATTTAATCTTCAAATAATCCACGTGTGTCTCTCTATCTTACGGTACTAATGGCACAGATCTTCTACAGGCTGAACGCTGCGATCTTTTCACATTAGAGCAGAGATCTTTGTAAATATGATTTTGCATATTAAATAGTACAGGCTGAGGTTACAACCTGAACGCGAGCTTATGCGTTTCATGATCCTTCGTAAGCCGGTAGAAAAGTAATTTTCAATAATTTTACGGTTTTCTTAGCGACTACCTGAGCGTGACCAAACTTGCCGTTACATACAACAACGAAACTCTTCAATCGTCAAATTTCCTTTTTCATTTCCAATCCGATGTACATATATGTTAATTTAGTAAATTCAGATGTAATATCCACAGATTCTCCCGATGAGTCTATGACGATGAATCCAAATGTAAATAATATATGATAATATAAATAGACGGTGTCGATATACATAATCACCACTAATACAGAATTTAAAGAGATACGATTAGGAAATTCTCGCCTACACAAATATGTAAATAAATTGCAACACATCAGGTAATGAAAAGATGTTCAACCTCGAGCAAAATCACCAATTTCTTTTGCTCGTGTAGAATACGCCAACAGTTGAAGCTCTATTTAGAAAGAAATCATTACAATTTACCTCAACAGCGAGCGATTGGTTAACTCAGACATAACCACAAATATCCTTAACCACGTCGATTACTTTGGATGGAGTGCAACTCTTGTTGGACTTGAAAATAAATTTCTCTTTCACACTTCCGTTTAGTTCAGCCGTTTATGGTCGGCCGTAACTGGCGTTTCTCGTTAAACTCCAACATCGATGGCGAATGACCGGTTCGAATGATGCGCGAAGCAATCCAACGTTCGCGAGAACATAACTCGTCGATTAGGAAAAAGTAACAGTAAACGCGATCGTACGCATCGGTGCAAACTAGAAAGTGCAAAAGTATCGGTTTTCATTGCTGAAAACACTGCGATCGGAGACGAAATGAAACAATAGCAGAAATCCCTGACGAAAGTAAGCAATTGCTGTTATGGTCAACAACTACGGGGACGATCGAGAAAGGGGACTGAAACCGTTTCGACGTACGTCGATGGTAATTACATATTTTCAACTTTTGAAGCAATACGTCGTGTAATAGGCCAGGATATAATAGACAAATGTGGGTCGAACGAACGAAACGTTTCGCGTCATAGAAACTTACACTCCGCGTTATGGCGTTTTTCGTTGGCAGGATGCAATATATTCGCTATTATCGTGTCACTCCGAACGTGGTACGTAATATAGTGGTGATTTCCGAGAAACTTTCTCTGTATTTATTAAAACAATAACTTTCACGTTGAGTTTAATTATAATTACTTCGCTTGTGGTAAAAATAGGACATGCTAAGTGGACGTTGGACGTGATTAGAGGGTTTTTACGTAGTCACTTTTACAGAATAAAAAATCTGGAACGTGTCATAGGTGTCCGTGGTAGTATTTATCCAAGTAGATGGAGGACGTTAGTTTAATGAATATTGAACGATATTTTATTAGATATTAAAATTATTACTAACATATTCTAAACTTATGTATCTAGGCAGTTACATCATAGATTTCGATTTGCTGAAGAGATATTAAGATATACTGGATGACAAGAAATTAATATTAAATTCATTGATATTGACATTTTAAAAATAAACGAATTATTACACAGTGGTATTAAACGAAAACTTTGGAATGGACTGATGTGTGAATACTGTGTGTGATGTCATCATTTCATTTTTATGTTTATACGAAGACATTGATGGTTGGGTTATTTGGGAAATCGGGTCAGCAACGGGTCTACTACCTGAATGCTTCATTTCTGACTAGTTACTTTCTACCCACCTCTGGTCAGTTATGGTTCTCCTACCAGCGTTCCAGTTCGGACAATCTTCGAAATGTCATTGCTCAATCTTTGTCAAATTTTATTAAGATTATAAAGTCACATTAAAATTGTTGAACGGTACTCTGTTTCGAAGCACGAATACGAATACGAATGCTTTGGGATAAAGAAAAGAAACTGTATGGGCGTCTGTTGGCGAGTCGTTAACAAAGGACAGAACGGGAATCGCGACTTTCGAAGGTGTGTCGTTCTCAAGGTAAAGGTAAAGGCCGTTCGCGGGAAACGGTTGCGCGCAACTTTGCTACTCTACGGGTGTCGTTACGTCGTTTCGCTTTAGCGATTTAGTCGCGAGATCATCTAAACAAAGAAAAGTGAATTTTACCTTCGTTAATGGCATCTCAGTTGCTCCTGTCCAATTCAATTCATGACTCGGTTACGTTAGGTCAATTCCTAGGTGAGCAGTGAAAGTATTCTTGAGCTTTGTACCGCAATTGTCAATGTCCTTAATCTCGGTGCAGATTGAAACTTCACACATCACACGACCATTATTGTCGCTTACCGAACTTGGAATCAAACTTTGTTTATACATATAAGAATTCGCCAGTCAGCGTCCTTTGGCGGCGCACGAGTATTGTCGCCCTTTTGTTTCACTGTTTCACCGAGTGTCGTCGACAACCGTCGACAACCGTCGACAAATAGTCGGTCGCCCGGCGAATGTCATTTTTACAAAGAAATATAAAAGAAGCTATTGACGCCGTTAATTTCTACTACATACGCAAAAACTTTTCTTGCAATGAAAGTTCGCGGTCGTTTCATCTGTTTTACGTTTTAGTAAGTTGATCGACGTGCACGCGAGCGGTCATTAGTGAGAAGATTTCGAAAATATCAGGATGCGGCTAATTTAGACGATGAGAATAAGATCCAAGTGGTACTCCAATGAAATTTCTACTCCTCGATTATCTCTGTCTCTTGCATGCAAACATTTTGCATGCTATTCTGTCTAGAATGTTCTGGACGATCTCTATCCTTGCACAATCAAGATAATATGGTTGAATGATTTTATTATGATTAATCTCTCGATCGAATGTACTTTGGTCGATAGTTGACATTTTTGTGAAATATATCATGTTAAACAACTAATGTACTACGATATTTCTCATTTCTTGTGAAAGTTTATGTTTTTACTTTTCAGTCCAGAAAGAAAAATCGCTCATTCTTTAATAACATATTCATATATCCTAATCTTCGCAATATTTTTTTAGCAACAGCTGACCTTGTGGTGATGTAATTTTAGCCTGAATCTTGCTCAAGATTTTGTGAAATATCTTCTGATCGAAACTTTCTGAACCGTCACCAACACCCACTTATACATGTAGCTTCATCTTCACACAATTGACACACCTTTTCACCACAGTCGTAACACTTCCTTGTTTCAACTCGTCCAGCATAAGACGATGAATATCCTCTTTCGTTATTTATATATTCAGCCTACACTCGCTATGACACTGATGTTACAATGGAGATAATACATCTATTTATACCAGTATTTATAACAAATAGATGTATGTTCAGTTTTTTTTTCTTTCCCATACAAATCTAGAAGACACTGAGCTACTTATGCGGTGATCTAATAAATTGCACAATCTTGTAAACTTGTATTACGATGACACAGATATCTTCTTTCACTTATATGAACCAATCAAGAAAAACTTAATTAACCATTTATTAGCCATTATAGAGGATCAAGACAATTAAATAGAATTATCAAGATTCAGGACAATGTTTGTGTAATGGTAGTGTTTAACAAGAAACACGAATTTAATGCATGTATATTCCAATTTTTGTGTCTTCGTCAGTAAATTTATCTTCAAAAAAATTAGCAATAATAATACTCATAAAATTATCTGATTAGTTATTTCTGCAACAAGTACGCATTCGCAAGCTTGGTAATCAACCTACCACACAATTGTCTTACCAATAGTAAAGTATGAACAGATTTGCATTATTGTTAAACAGTTTGTAAGTCGAAACAAGTGTTCGATGAGACATAAAAAAAAAAAAATAATGCGATATTAAAGTCTTAACTACCTGAAACGATCTCACTCGACAACTCGGCCAACGCATAGCTGTGTCCAGCTAGACTGTGTTGAGCTTTCTCGTTCGAAAATTTCACCGTGTCCGAATACGCACAACAAAATTTCTATAGACTATCTCTTTCGTCGTGTGGATAAATGTTAATATTCTCCATTGTGTTAGTCTCAACGGATATTCGCAACAGTTTGCGACTTCATAGCGATGTTTTTTCTTTTCTTTTCCTTTTGTTGTTGTTGTTGTTGTTGTTGTTGTTGTTGTTGAACTGCGTCAACTATAGACTTGGTCTATAGTTTCATCATATTTTGGAACCTGCAATAAATTTAGAATATCTCGCTTGTTCGTGTTATTATGAAACAGTAGACGAAATTGGGGCTATTAAGTGTTGCGACACCTTTTTAGCACTATTGAGACATCGAGAAGGTTGGCACTTTATAAAATATAAAGCGATGATTACTTACTAAAAATTCTTTATTCCTTTGGCCTCGGTTGCTTCGTATAATGCGATAATTATAGGGAAATAAATTATCATGCTATTATTAATGAAAACTACATTACCGCCGTAATTTATAGATGATAATTAAACCTTGAACCTATTCCACATTGCTCTCAAAGTTGACATCTTAATATTAATCTTGTCCTGTCGGTATTCGTCGTTTCGTCTCGTAATTTAGTTGTGTAATTTGCGTAGTTGATGCACAGCAACAAGACGATTGTTCTATTATCTAGAGCGTGAAGGAAATCTGTCAAGAAAATGAAACGAAACGGAATGAAAGAAGAGCTCCATCGTTAACGATAATCCTGTCTTGAACTTGCTCGATGAAATTTCCACACAACGACCGCAACTTCTCCTTTTTTTTAACGATAAACAAAAATCCTTGCAATTCTGGAAAAAAAAGGGAGGAACTAATTATCAAATATCGGCGATCATCGTGGTCGTTGTACTCGTATGTACGTTGTCGAAAGATTGCCTCGACCTTTCAAGTGGGTCAGTAGGCTGTGGCCCATTGGCACGCCTGAGATCCGGCAAATCTGTTTCGAACAGGAATTCCCAAAGTTCCTTTCACAAACTTTAGGGCCATCCGTGAAAATTGTCAAGTGGAAGGCGTGGAGATTCAACTTGAATGTCACCTTTATTGGATTCATCAAAGATGAAGTAAAATCATTGATGGATCAATTTTATTCGATTCGAGATAAATAATTAGACGAAGAAATTAAAAGAATGTCAATTTCTTTTGTACAGAAAAGTTTGTTAATCTTTAATTAATTTTATGGATAAATATATAAATGATGGGGCATAATATCGCAGCAGTGAAGAAAACTTTCTCTATCGAAACTATAATTTTCGTCTGGAATTCGGGTAATTAATTGATTGGTCTGTCATAAAGGAATGCAACTGAATGCGAGGTTCTGATAACAGGATTTTATTTGCATCGTGTCTCTCACGGTCTACTGTATATGTATTTATGTTATAAAATCCATTCCAAGATATGTTATCGAATACTATAGCTGTTACAAGTGAAACTAGTGAGTACATTCCATATTCACGAAAAGAGAAAAGAAAATTCATTTTACAAAACGAATGTGAATATTTGTGTAGTCACTTCGAACACAAACTGTAGTTCACACGTCAGAGTATGTGTACACAATCTTTGTTTGAACTCTCGTCGACGCTAAACTTCAGTCCTTTCTATTATATTCCGAAGAACCGCAAATAATGGAAGATTTTGTGTCTCTCGTAAGAAAATGCCATTATTCTCGACGCTTGGAGACAATTTGACACAGTATAATAGAACTCATCTGTCGACGTGACGAGAATAATGAAGATAATATTATCACGTTTAATGACTAATTTCACTAGAAGATTGTCTTCGTGAATAAGAAACGATTTCGTGAATATATTAACCTAGTGTGGTGCGAGCAAAGCATGTAGAAACTGCAATTATTTGCATACGTACAAAATGTACAAATTCTGTACAGAATGCCTGCAAATTACAATACTATCGACCTGGAAGCGATTCACGAAAAAACAGACTAGAAAAAAAGAATAAACTTTTTCTACGACCTTCCATTTTCGATGAAATTAGTTTGTAAAATGTACGGGGCACGCTTGAGTTCGATTTAATATTTCCTACCTAAAAGTAAAAGCTTACTTGAAACAATTTGAATGACAACAATTTACTTATTTTTCGTAGAGAACCACCCACTGTTTCTAAATAATACATTTTCGGTGTTCAGACATTCATTACAATCGATCGAAAGATCGTTCGTACTCCTTCGACCTTCACACGACGTTCACAGACCAAAAAGAATCGATAGCACAGATTAGGGATCACAGATTAGACGACCTCCAGCTAAAGCTGAATCACGTTGGAAATTGGCGTCGGTCGAAATCGTCCATGATCTAGTCCCTGTTAACCGATCCATCTCGAAATAACAAAAACACGTGACTTTCCAACGTAATGAAACCTTTGTACACTCGACTCGGCATTTCTATGCTAAAAAATCCGGTTTCAAAAATATCGAGACTTTCTCCAAAAGTATTTTACCAAGTCTAAAAACGTGCCTTGATTTTTAACGCAATATTTTAATTAACTCGATGAATAATTATAATCCTGTTTCATTTGTACTTTGCACTTGTGATATAAAAGGTGTGGTAATATTTTGCCAATCGGAAATTCATTCTCGAAATAAATATACTTGCAAACATTGGGATTTACGATGGAAAGTAAAATTCGATTGCTATTAAAAGAGACGAAATCAGGTTGGACCGGAACAGGGATCCCATGGTGTTCTTTTCTTCCGGTTTGGTTGCAGGATGCACGTGGCGAGAGACGCTAGGGACATGCGTGTTTCAGTCGGACTTTGGTTTTGCGCTAAACTGCGCCTTCAAAAAGTCTGGCCTCTTTCGAGTGCGAAATCTTGGAGGTGTCAAAGGCTACGTCGGCCTGGGTGAGTCGAAATAACCACCGTAGCCACCGATTGCAACATTTTTCGGTGAAACGATCATACTAAACCCATCGTATAAGAAATTTGCCTTTCGAACGTGTTTCTTTTATAAAGAGCATAACTCTTTCAGAAAATAAGATTAAACGTACGCATAGATTTCTCAAGGTTCCACTCTACACACTGTACACTGTAAATTTCTTGTAAATATTATAGTATGATATTTGTAGCTACAAATCTGATAACTTTTTTAACATACTCTTCTGTAATACAGAATACTGTATTTATATTAATGAACGCTAATAATAATTAGCCTAGATAGTCTTCTAACATTTTTAACTTGCTCTTCCATGTTTTACTCGTAAGGATTAATAAAAGAGCGTGTACAAAGGTTAAAGGCATTGCTCCACCACGGCAGAGGAGCTGTTTTTCTATCATTCTTTGTAATAGCAATACGGTTACTTACTATATGCTTCAAACTGTACCAGTTTGTGTTTTTTT